GCACAAATAAAAAATTTGCCCTTGGCAAATCGATTGAAATGAAAATGTTGATTACTGCGTTGATGATTTTCTGGGTTTTACTCAGAATTCACCCCAGTGAAAGGACTAATGCTATTACTCAGACTCAAACCATATATTTTTGCCATGCTAAGTACTTCCATAATAAAGGAATTATATATATCAATATTATCGTTGATTCATCAAAAAACAGCCATCCTTATTCAAAACCAGGTTTATTTTCTATTATTTCTTTATTATTGTATAATAATAAGTTGCTACCCTGGCTGAGCCATAGCCATAGCAATAATATATGTCATCAATAACATATCAGGTTCAAGACAATGGTCAGCATCCTTTTCCTACTGGTTCCTCAGTAACTTGTGAAGTCACAGGAGAAAAATGGAATAAAGTTCTAACACTGTTGGAAGGCAGCAGCTCTGTCCTTCTACCAATGCTGATATTATGCCATATTTCATTCATGCAGATGGCATGAAACATAAGAATTTGCCTGACAACAGTGTGACAACAGTGTGCCCCTCTCTTCTTCTGAGATATATTTGAAGAGTTCTTGGGGGAGGCAGGGGGGGCTGTCTTTCCAACGAGCTCGGGATTTCCTAGTGGTCTCCAATTCAAGTACTGACAGTTGCCCCCTGCTTAAGCTTTCCAAGATAAGACAAATGCAGCTATGTATCATTTTCTGCTGAACACATAGGAATTTAAAATCCCTATTTGAAGTAAAAATATATCGACACTTTGAAACAAATATTCAACAGTTCATTAATACAACTATAAACATTTCAAAGTGCTTCACTCTTTGTAGACGGATTACATACAGGGCAGGTAAAAGATACAAGAGTTCGAAGTAACTTGAACCTTCTGTTTTTCAATATATGTCATTTTGTCCCAAGAGAAAAATATGTATTTCTGAATTCTTTAATTTTCTAACATGACAATACACACATGCTATATCAGATTTGCTATGCAGTATTTTTGCATAGTATGGAAAGACACGAATTGTAAACTTACGTGCCAATGCAGATTTAACTATGTTCCTCTTCTCCTTTTACTACGTGATATTTAATCCATGTAACAGGCTTCTAGTTATGGTCCTATAGCTGCATTGCAATGATCACATTATTTATTGTTACATTTCTTGCCTGGCTAGACCTTGACCAAAAGAGATCACCTAAAGGAATTACTTGATCCTCTCAGAAACAGGTGGTAGAAATTACAGTCAATCAGGTTAGGCCACTAAATGAAATTTCCTCATGGGCAATTTGCCCACTGGAGCTATATAACTTTGGAAACTGAAAACAAACAGGCCCCTTTTTATATTTTTAGAGTTGCAGTAGGAGAACTGTCTGGTATGGCTCATATTATTTCTGGTATGGCTCATATTATTTTATGAATAGACACACTGATGGATGAGAACCTTCTCACATCTCCTGGTGTTCTATCTATCAATGCATTACAGTCTTTGCAAACCTTCCTATATCACTTTATGTATTCTTCAGACTTGTTTGGTGTAGTAAAGGTAGTGTAGTTTTATCCCAATTCAGCCTCTTTATATGTACAGTATGTGTTCAACTGGACACTTTTTGAATTATGCAGAAAATCTCTTTTTGTATTATTGTGAATTTCTGTGGATTCTGATTCTGAATTTCCATGGAGTAATAATATTAATGATCCATCTTAAGCAAAACAGATAAGCCATGAGAGTTTTGTCTACTTAGGAGTAAGCACTACTGAATTTTAAAGGGCTTTGTTCCTTTTAATCCTTTCTAAGCAGAGAAATTCTGAAGCAGCAGATTTTCCTTAAATCTCACTGTATACATAGTGTCTAACTAATCAGCTTGTTAACCAACTTACTTAAATTGGATTGAGTTTCAGATCACTATCACTATAAGAAGTTGGGAATGGTTTCTTAGCTTCCCACAATTGTTACTCTTTGCCTTCAGCCACAGGAATAAATATTTGCAAATGTGGTTCAAAAGGTGGAACCCAAATATATATACACAGGATTCTGCTCAGCAGAGTTCACAAAGGTAGTTGACTGGCTTTGAAGAAAATAGAACAGAGTTTTATTACAGCTGTTAAAATTCTGAAATGGATGAATGATGAAGCAGAATAATCTTCCTCTACTTAACTACCCTTCTATCTATTGTTCTCTTCTGGAGAAAACATTTATTTCATTTCAGTTTGAGCTGTTCTTCAATTTGTAGCAGAAAATGTACATAAACTCCTCTCCACAAAAAGCGAAAGACCTTAACAAGAACAAGGTGTTTTTCTCCAAAATCTCTATTCTTATCTATTATATGCTGTTTTCCCAAGTATCCTTCTAAATTTACTCTATAACATGATTACTTGGCATTGCATGCATATACAGTATGAGCCTGTTTACATACATGCAGGGATAAAGAACTGATTTAGTCAACTGATTACAAATAGTTTTTTTTTTCAGAATTGCATGGTAAATTGGCAATGCTTGGTAGAAATTTATGCTTAAATTAAGTGAGCATATTCTGAAACGCTCTTAAATTATTTTGAATTAAAAATAATATGTGTGCTTACAGTGTTCTCTTTTTCACTGGTATAAGAGTAACTTTTAACAACTAATAGATATAATTTAAAGACTCCCCTGGTAAAATTATCTTAATCTCTCTTCAGACTGTGAGTGCAATAGCCTTCAGCTAGAGATTAAAGGCATCTATAATTTTTTTTCTCCCTATGTTAAGCTAGAGAAGCAAATATAGTTCTCAGGCCACTTGCCCTAAGACAAGGAGACAAACTGCTTCCCTTCTTTTTCTTTTCTCTGTCACCTACAGTATTAAAGATTAGACTCTTCTCAATTCATGCCGTACCTGAAACTTCTTGTGTCACAGTGCCCTTGTCAAAACAGCAGTGTACTTTTGAAACAAACCTTTTTTCTTCTTTGATGATCTGCTGGTGTGATCTACAAATTGGAGGTCTAAAATTATAATCGTAACTTCACTCTTTTTCAAAAACTATTCTGGTGTAGCATGATACCTGCTCTTGAATTTTATTTTGTCATGCTCCAAACAAACTCAAACTCATTGGGTTCCTTATCTGAGAAAGCCTGATTTCTCTTTGAAGCATGAAAGCCTTCCAAAAGTAGAAAAAAAAAATCAGTTTCAGATATGGGGAATAATTGCCATACACAGTAATCTTTAAAGATTCCAGTTGTGTTAGGGGCACTAACTCATCTATCATCATGGCTGGATCAAACCGTCTTAACTTGCTGATTGTTAGATTTTTATTTGGTCTATGCCTGCGTTTTGAATTGGCCAAATGTAGGGTATTACTAATTTCCCCCAATTTTTATTTTTTTCCATTTATTGGCTTTATTGTCAAGAATAAATACTAACATTGGAGTATGTATTATTTTATTGAGATTGTTACATTCACCTTTCCCGTTTTTTAAGTATATTGGGCACCAAAAGTTTTAGTGAGGACTACGAGATAAATCATTTAAACCTGTTACATGGGAGAAGATTCACACTGTACATCGGGGGTGTCAAATTGCCGGCCTGTGGGCTGGTTGCATCATATGGAGGCCACACCCACCCAGCAATGCAAAAAAAGTCACGATACGTCGCAACACCTCACGTGACGCGACGAGTTTGACATCTGTGCTGCACATGCTTAAATCTTGTGTATTTGGAACTCTTCTGTGTGTGATGGGAAATATTTCCTGTAAGAATTCTAGTAATTATAATTAACATTTGAAGGATACCAGGTTGAGGAATGCTTGTAGACTGCAATGTTAACCACAATAGCACAGATATTTTTGCAGTTTCCCATAGGGTTGGATTATAATAGATTTTCAACAGTTATTTCATATGTATTGGAAACCTGTGGAACTTTTAAAGAAACAGTTGATGCTCTGTACTCATTGTTGGAGATGTGCTGCTCAAAATGCATCATTGGTTCAACATAATGTCCAGATTCTCTTACTAAAAAGTAGTCTTTTTTAATGCAAGCTTTTTTTTCTTAGCAGTTTCATGGGCAGATCCATGGGGGGCATGAGAGAAAAAAAAGTGGTTTCCACTACTTTTTTGGGGATATTTTTTCATGTTGCAAGTTTAATCTATATTCTTGGTACTTCTTGGTAGTCTGCCATGAAAGTCACTAGGTGACTTTTTTCCAAGATCAGACAAAGCTGGTCAGCTGCTGTCTAGAAGTTAATTTTTATATTAACTTGATTCTGAAATATTCTTTTTTCATTGCTTAGCATTTAAATTATATATGAATGGTTGAAAAACTAGGAGGAGTAGAATAGAAATACACATCACATATTTTTAGAGTTGCAAAAACTTGCATACTGCAACATTGGAAGGAAGCTCAATGTCTATTAATTATACAATAGTCAGAAGAAGTCACTTTTCTAAATCTGAGCGGCAAGTATTTTACTACTAAGAGTCCATCTGGAGAACTACTTAGAAAATTGAGCTATATGTGTATTTCCCTTCCCCATTTTTAAGTAAGTTCACTTAAATGTTAATGATTTTATCTTATAACATTATGTGAACATATATGTAAAATGAGCTTGGTTTAATAAATAAGAACTACATGATTTGTAACTTTGATTTTTTTTTCTTTTGCATAGAATAAACAGGAGATAAAAAGCTACCCATTTCTTGATTTCCTGGATATTTCAAAAAAATTCAGAGATTGAATGAAATGGAATTTTAATCTCATCTATAGTGTTATGAAATGAACAATCACCTTGCAAACAAAAGTTATCTGCAATGGTTCCTTGCTCTCAATTATCCTTTAAATAAAGGTTTCATATGAGGTTTTGCACTCCTTTGTTGTCGTACTACCTGCATTTTGTAAGAGAGAAATGTCATGTTACAATGATTATATGCAAGCGCTTGTAGATTTGTCGTGTTATATTGAATTATTGGTTGGAATGGGTATAATACAACAGTATTAGAGGTTTGTCCATTTATAACACTTTACAACTTAACATTGTTTAGGTTCTCAGAGACGGAGACTCATTCCAGCTTTGTCACTTGACACTACATCTCCTATAAGGAAGCCTACCAACCCAGCCATACGATGGGTAGATGGACCCCTGCGAAGTGCCCAGAGAGGGATGGGGGAGCCCTTTGAAATCAAAGTCTATGAAATTGATGATGTGGAACGGCTCCAGCGACGGCGGATGGGGGATAACAATGTGAGGCCATCCTAATATATATTTTTTTTAATAAGCACAGATACTGGTTTTAAATTGCTGTACTTTTATTTGTAGATGCTTTTAGCTACATTTGCAAATCACTCTTTAAAATACATCCAGTAAAGTAGACATGATCCCTGCCTAAATTCAAATAGAACCCACAAGACTCAATAAAAACAATTCCTAAAAGAGATGTGGGGATTCTGCTAAGAACGATGATGTTTTGCTGTACATCAGTGTTTCCCAAACTTGACAATTTTAAGGCATGTGGACTTCAACTCCCAGAATTCCACAGCCAGCATTGCTGGCTGTGGAATTCTGGGAGTTGAAGTCCACGTGCCTTAAAATTGTCAAGTTTGGGAAACACTGCTGTACATGAAGCTTTCTGGAAGCAGTGTTGATACTTATTTGTATTTATGTAACCTTTGCAGTCAAATCCACTCAGAAAATACCAAAGATCCCTCTTGTAAGAAACATTTTAAAAAAAAAATAAAGGTAGTATGTTGCAAGAAATAATGACTTGACTTTGCCTCAGCAACTATACAGGTAGCTGTCAACTTATGATCATGATTGGAACTGGAACTTCTATCTCTAAATGATGTGATTGTTGTATTTATGACTTTTTTGTTGCAGTAGTTAAGTGAATCCAGCTTCCTCTATTGATTTTGCTTGTCGGAAGCCCATTGCAAAGGTCACTAATGGCAATCACAAGACCCCAGACACTACAACCATTTTAAATACATGCCGGTTGCCAAGAGCCCAAATTTTGATCATGTGACCATGGGGATGTTGCAGTGAGGACCAATCATAAGTTATTTTTTTCAGGGCCATCATAACTTTGAACAGTTGTTAAATGAATGCTCATAAGTCAAGGACTACCTGTACTCACACACCCCCCATTTGATCCACAAGTCCATTTTCACTTCTATACACACAAAGAAACAACGTCCACAGAATCAAATTTATATTCATCAGAATAAGAATGATGGATACATGGAGTTGCTATCTTCAGTGAAAGTCTTGCTAGGGAAGAGAGCTTTGTGTCTGCATTGGAGGAAACCCTGGTTCAAAAGCTTTCAGTATACCATCTCTTTTAGACTAGATATATCCCTGTGTAATGTAAATTGAAGGATAAAGGTTTTGTTTTCTAATTCTTAAAACCAAAGATTGCAATACACCTATAAAATTTCAAAATCTATAGCTCATGGTATGGTGATAAATCCATAGTCCTGATCACTTGTCAAAGATAATGAATGGAGGGCAATTATTTACGGTGAATAGTCCGGAAAGACTGTTCTTTGCTCTAGTGACTCACTCCTAGTTTCAGATCCATTCAGGTCTAAATTGAGTCTTTTCCCCAGTAATTTTCTCTTACAAATGCCCCCTCCCAGGAACCATGGGAGTGAGAATAATACATTTCATCTTAACTTCTGCTTTCACTCTTAGAATTGTAACCTTGATAATGAGCCTTCTTCTTTGCAGAAATGTAATTGTTTTAGGATGTGAAATAAAAATGTGAATAAAATAAAATAAAAAAAATTTTTAAAAATTGTTTCCGTTTGGGAGGAAATTTAGATTTAATATGGTATCAGTTTACAATAACATTATTACTCACCATCACTTAAATGTCCAGGGTTTATTTGTGTAACTGTTTCTCCATTATTTAACTTAATTGTGTTTCTGATTCCTACCAAAAGAGAATAATTGTACTGGAGAAATGTTTTTGTCTCATTTTTATCCTTTTCTTTTTTTTTCTTTCTTCTCATATGTCTTACTGGGTAGGAGGTGATTTGCTACAATGCTAAGCTAAAAATCCTGGAGCATCGACAGCAGCGAATTGCAGAGGTCAAGGCCAAATATGAGTGGTTAATGAGAGAGCTGGAAGTGACCAAACAGTATCTGATGTTGGATCCCAATAAATGGCTCAGTGAATGTAAGGTTTTATGCTTCCTCTGTTAAGTTCATTGCCAAGAAATTTTACTGGAATTTCAGCTTAGCCGCCACTCTTTTAAAGCAAGTAAAATTTCAGTCTTGAAATTACATTTGACCTCAAGCAGGTTTGGATTGTCTGTGATTTTGTTATGGTTCCCACATAATTTCCATTAAACTGTGACATTGGAAGCAAGTGGGCGTATTTGTTCAAATGCTGAATCAGAGGAGTGAGAAATATTGCCATCACCAGATTAACGCATAGGTGTCTCACTCCACAGCTTCTGAAAATGAGATTTCTTTTCTTCGGCCCTCAGTTCACTCAGACATGCAAGTTATATAATACGTCTGCTCTCCCGCTGTTAAATAATACTATAAGGCAAATTTGACCATTGCTCAAAATGTCTTATTAATCAAAAAATAATCTGATTCTTTATATATAGTCAGAAAAGAATAGAGACCATAGAGTTGTAAATGGCCACTTCAGCTATTGAGTCCAATCCCTTATTTAGCATAGAAAACTGAATGTTAGCATTCTTGACAGAGAAGTATCTTATCTCTGAGTGAATGTAACTATGAAAGGGAAGCCTGGAACTTTTCCAAGTAATGGGTTCCACTCTAAACTACTTTTATTTGTTATATTTTAAAAAAAACATTGAGTTGGAATTTGCCTTCCAGTAATTTAAATCCATTTATTTATGTTCTACATCCGTGGTGGCGAATCCTATGGCACATGTGCCACAGGTGGCACGCAGAGCCCTCTCTGTGGGCAAGCGCGCCGTCGCCCCAGTCCTAGGTCTTCAGCTGGGTTTTATAAAATCTTTTCCCTTTAGGCCTCCACCGCCATGTGCAAAAAAAAAAAGGTTCAATCAATCAATCATTTTCAACTTCTCGCGGGAAAAAAAATATCTTGCAAAGTTGGAATTGATTGATTGAACATTTTAGTCCCACCCAGTCTGTCGTTAACCACTGTGGCCACGCCCACCCAATGGGCCACACCCACCCAATGAGCCATGCCCACCTGACACCCGACAATACATAAGTGGGTTTTGGATTGCAGTTTGGGCACTCGGTCTCTAAAAGGTTCACCATTACTGTTCTACATTCTGGAATAAGTGTGCCATTATACTGAGCATTTTCAATCTTCATAAAACTTAGTTTCTAGTCCTCTTATCATCCTCACAGTCTTTTTAGAAGTTTTTCCAGTTTTCCCAAATCTCTTCTGAAGTGTAATAACTAGAATTAGGCATAGTACTTCAAGTGGGGTGAATTGAAGCAAAATAAAGGAGAACTATTACGTTTTAAACTTAACAAAAAATAAAATAAAATTTTCCTAAAGTTTGAAAACTGTACATACATTGATAAATTTTAAAATTGTTGTTCAGTCACTAAATCGTGTGACTCTTCATGACCTCATGGACCATAGAATGCCAGCCTCCCCCATCCTCCACCATCTCCCAAATTAATGTTCATTGTGTCAATGACGTTATCTAATCAATCCTAAAATTACATTTGGATTTTTTGCATCCAGAACTCACCATTAACTAACATTCAGTTCATAATCAGCTATTATTCCAAGATATTTTTCACAAATATTACAAAGGGGATGGGTAGTATGATGATGATAATGATGATTTTGGCATCACCCAACTCCCAGGCTCTGAACACTTCACAATATAGGAAATAAAGCAAAACAACATAGCAAATATAATAATATAGCAAAGCAGTATAAAAATAAAATAGCAAAATATAAATGAATGCACAAGATGGAAGTCTAGCCACTCATAAGAAAACCATATTCAAAATCCATCCACAAGGCATTCCAGTCACTTTCCAGAATGCCAAGAGGATGGGAGCTACCCTGATCTTGCGGAGACCTCTTTCCAGAGGACATGTTCCAGAAGGAGAAGGCATGTTTCCTGGGTCCCAAAATATAACACTGTTTAATAAAAGGGATCTTGGAGCATGCCAACACTGTTGGCCCACATTGACTAGGCAAAAGCAATAGGAAGTAGGCAATCCCTCAAATAACCTGTCCCTAACCACATAGGACTTTATAGGAAATAACCAGAACTGTGAATCATACCTGGAATTATACTGGCAAACAGTGTAGCTCAGTCCCTGCACTTTGGACCATTGGAAACTTTAAAGTGATTGTCAAGTGTAGCTCCATGTGCAGCACATTACAATGGTTGAGCTGTGAGATGACTAGGGCGTGAATAACTGTCTGCAGTCATCCAACCCATACTTACTTATTTTTTATATATTTGTTTTTATCCAACCTGTATTATTATATTATAAGTAACCCAAGGCAGCAAACATACCTAATATTCCCTCCTGTATTTTGTCCACACTAACAACCCCGGAAGACTGATGGATAGTGACTGGTCCAAAGTCACCAAGCTAACTTTCATGCCTAAAGAGGAGTTAAAAATCACAGCCTTCTGGTTTCTAGTCTGGTTGCTTAACTATTAGATCTTTTGTTTCCTAAGTGAAGAACTTTGCATTTGACACAATTAAATTGCATTTGATTACCCTCAGCTCAGGTCATTAGCCCCTCAAGGTCATTTTTTAAATTTTATTTCTCTCTTCTAAAATTATTAGCAAATCCATCCAGTTTTATGTCATTCACAAAATTTGATAGCTTTCCATTTGCCTCTTAATCCATTAATACAATTGTTGACAATTAGGGAGCTCAGAACTAAACTTTGTGGCACCTCACTTAATTCTTCACTCTCATTTAATAAGGAATCATTCATCAATCTAGCTATTTTGTGAACAATAAAAAGCAGTGCTGTATCTGCTGCCTTATGCTTCCGGATAAAATGTAAAATACAGATTTAATATATACAGTGCAGATGAAAAGAAAGCATGAATATAATAACTATTGTTTTGAATGTATTGCTTCTTTGAATCTTATACACATTGTGCCCTTGACTACAAATGTCACTTTTTATTTTTTAACTTCCACAACTTTTTTACTCCACAAACTGAGGATAACAGTTTTGATAGCCTTCTTCAGCCTGTTTTCTTCCAAATGTATTCAATTTCAAGTGCCATTTAGAGGAAACCAGGTTAGAGATGAGTGACTGAAAACATCTGGTGATGGTAATGCTAATGCATGAACGCTGATTCTAAGTAAACAGCCTGAAAGGGCCATATTTTTTTCTTTTTTTATGCAATGATTTTACTTTACTAGGTATAGTTGTTTTCAACCCAGCCAGTGAAAATTAGAAAAACAAATGGTAATTCAGTGGTTTTCAAAGTTGCCTTATAAAAATAGTAACATTAATTTTGCTATTTTTGTATACCTTTTTAATAGTAGCACTGAATAGATTCTTATACTCATGAATGTTGAGTACATTCATTGAATGTTGACTATTGTAGATCCATATATGAATATAAATCATTCAGATTGCAAGATAGCGCTTGCATTTTCCTCTCTGACAGTAATTGGGTTAGTCTTGTTTCTTCCTTTCTTACAGTTGATCTGGAACATGTTTTTGATTCGGATTCCCTGGAGTACTTGGAGGCTCTTGAATGTGTGACTGAGCGGTTAGAGAATCGTGTCAATTATTGCAAGGCCCACCTCATGATGATCACCTGCTTTGACATCTCTTCCAGACGTCGATGAAGAATTAACCTCAATACTCTTTTGGACTACTGCCAGACACCCCTTTCCTTCTTTTTGAACTTATATCCCAAAGACCCAGAATGAGGATGAAGGTTGGTGTCATGTTTTGGCTATGTGTGAGAAGATGGATTTTTTTTAATTATGCCGAATATATGTTGGAAATCGAAGACATTGAAAATAAGGATGTGGATTCTTCAAGCCTGAAAGAGCACTTTGAGAAATCTTAAAGACATGTTTGTACATAGGAACCGCTGCAGAAGTGATTTACCCCCACCCCCAGCCCATCAATAACTGAAGAGGGAGGAAGAAGCAGGTGTAGGGAGCTGTTGAGAGCCCCACTATAGTAAAAATACATGGGAAAACTGTCTGAAGTGCCTTGCAAATCTTTATTATCCAAACATTTATGTTCATACTTGTACAGATGGTGCTAGTTGACAAAAAGAAAAAGACAAAAAAATCTAATCACATTTTTCGAAATGTATTTACAGCTTGTTATTTTCACTTGGTGTTTTATTCTATTTCTGACTTGCTGTTTCTACGTAAGTTGTGTTTGTAGAGATATTTCTTATCTGATACAGCATATAAATAAATGTTAACTGTCTTTTGTTGTTCAAGAGCAGAGTAAGACCACTCAAAGAAAAAAAAAGAAGTTGAAACTTCTAGATTAATCCCACAGATGTATGATGTAATAAAGGAAAGTAGGTTTCCCAGCTCTTAGTAAAAACAAAAATGTAGATTTTCTTACATGATAAGATTTCAGTTGGCACTAAAAAAATGGGGTATCACATGGTTTTGTAATATGTTCTCCTTTGGGGTACTGAAATAAATACATTGTTATGCGTATTCAGTCAACACTCCTATTTTATTACTGTTTAACTGAATATACAGTACTAACCTTTGCTAGCATTACAATCATAGAGTCATCAGAGTTGGATTGGGAGGACCTAAGGAAGATAATCTATTCAAAGTATTTCCTCAGTACAAGTTGAGATAACTTGTGACTCCACTCATCTTTATGAGCACAAGAATTTAATTGGTAAACCTCTTTAGCCAGCTCAGAAACCTTTGCATGCTTACAAGTATTATCATCATCTCCTAATGTTTTTCCCCAACTTTACAGAAAGCTAATTTGTTCTCAGTCAGTGATGGTCCCAATAACAGAACACTTTTGCTGAATAAGAAAGAAAAGGGGGAAAAAAACTTTGTAAAGTTGTTACTCAAAGGAATCTTTATAATTCTAGTTTTTGTCTAATCAGATAAAAATATTGATAAACTGCAAGCATTCATAACCTTTCCATAGAAAGGCTAAAACTATTTGCATTAGAATTAAAATGATTGATTCTGTGCTACCAGTCCCCATAACTCTACCTATCTGTGTGCTGATCTTTGCTTACCCATACAACAGAAATGATGAATTGGTTAAAGTTATTTATCCAGCTGAGTCAGAATACAAAAAGATATTCAGAACTGTATTATGAAAAGTAAAATACAGAATGCAGCTGGATAAAGTTACAGTTATCTAGTTAAATTACAACTCTCATTTTAGTTTGTTTCATTGTTACCTCTAAGTCAACTAATTCGATTTAGTATTTTTTTTCTTTTTTGTATTGTTTTTATTAAGGTTAAAGACCATTTGACTGATAGCCCAAACCTACATATAGTTAGAAAACACTTCATGTTATGCATCTTCATATGTGCTACATTCACAAATAGAGTAAAATATGTACAAAAAGGTTAATGACAAATGAATTAAAAGTCAAGAACAAAAGTACTTGGTCAACATTAATGTAGGTTATATAAATTGCCACAGTACAATAGAGAGTGTTCTTGCCTTGCTATCCTGCTTGTAGGCTTGCTGGAGACCTCTGATTGGGCAGCAGGAGAAATAGCAGGCTAGAGAAGTAGAGCTTTGATCTCATCTGATAGGGTTCTTCTTATGTTTAGAAGCATAAAATTGGCACCCACCATGGCTTCAATCCATAGTCCTTAGAAAGAAAATATGAATTTTTCTAGGCAGCAAAAGGGGATTGTAATGAAAACACTCCTTAGCCTGATCTCTTTCTCTCTTTTTCTAAATCTGGGAGATTCTACTTCTTAAAATAAAGGAAACCAGTGTTTGGGGAATTGTTTACCCAACTCCTGGCATGTTGGATTCTCCATTTATTTAGGAATATGGCTAGAAAAGATTGCTTCTGACCATGTGAAGTCCTATCTGGATCAGAGCATTTCACCTCATGGTTAAGTAGCAGCAGTTGACTGCATATCCATGCAAAAGTAATACATTTCACTATACTTTTCATAGGCTAAAATTCAAATATAGACACCTCATCACCCTTGCTATTACTTCAATATAACGAGAACTCAGATTTTCTTTCTTCTTTTTTAAATAAATTAATGTTAGGAATAAAATGAAAGTTCTGGAAGTATTAAATGATGAGATCACAATTTGCTGTTTTCTGCTTTATTAAAAGTTAATTCCATATTGCCTATGGACAGATTGATCTGCTCATACATAAAACTGTGTACGGTATGTATGCAGTTGCCTAAATTAAAAGGAAAAATGGTTAGATTTGTGAAGACCAATCCTATACTCTAAATAAACTAGAACCTTGCAGGATAAAACTGAACAGGGAATCCTAACCAATTTCACTCCAAATTAAAGTCCAATGTATTCAATTGGGCTTTCAAGTAAACTTGGATAGACAGTTGTAGCCACTGTTGAATAATTTGGTTTTGAGTGATATTATGAATATCCAAATGATGTATTGTAAAGAAATTTTACTGGTCTTTAATAAGCTTACCAAATTTAATTAAGTATCTGTAAAAATTTTACAGGAAAAAGAAAATTGCTGTTTAAGAGGGCTCATGCTTTAATTTGCACATGCCTTTGGCTTTATTCCTAATGTTCTGCATGGCCATCTCTCTAAGGAGCAGAATGGTTCTCAGAGAAGTTGGATGCAGAAAGATGGAAATACTTTGGAAAGCCTTTGGTGAAGGAAGAGTTGGCAAAGAGGGCAGAATTTGAGGAGATGATGACTTGTTTGATAAGGGAACACACACACTTTTCTTAATGACTGGAATCCCCGTATGGACCTTTTGCTGAAAACTAAAAAAAAAATGAACTTTTGATTTATGGGTGTGATCATTGGAAATGGTAGAATATGAAAAGAATGGTCAGAAGTCACTTTTTTCCAGTGGTGTTGTAACTTCAAACGGTCACTAAACCAACTGTTGTAAGTCAAGGACTGCCTGTATATCGTTTTCTTTTTCTCTCTCTTGCTTGTTTTGTACTTTTTCATTACTTTCCTATTTTCCTATCATTTTTTCTTTATTTTTTTCTTTCAAATATGTATTATTTTTGCAAAATTAAAACTTCTTTAATAAATTAATCCAAAAAAGAAAAAAGGGGGAGGAGTCAAAAGAAGAGCAGCTAGGTAATTAATAATGGCTGTGTGCAATGTTGTTTTCACAGCATTGTTTGCATACATACCTCCTCCTACCACTGTGCCCAATGAAGAAATCTCCAAAAGTAGAGTTTTAATTCTTTGAGGATCACATGCACCAATTAATCTGAAATACTATTGTCCTACTTGATCACAAAATCTTTTTATAAAATGTTAAAATCCTCTCCCTGAACCTACTGGGAATAGCAAATAGCTGCACAGAATGTCTTCTAGAGACTATTCCCCCCCCCCCCCAAGAAACTGCTGGTTTTTATAATTTGCTCTGGACTTCACTGTCCGCATTGTATTTCTACTTGACTACTACTTCTATTGTCCACTTTTCTACTCATACAAGATTTCAGTTATCCATATTCTCCTGATGTAGAAGAACAAGTTAGTTCCTGACTTAATGGTAAAAGAGTGTGATAAGCATCTGGTTAAATTTATATTCAATCCAGGTTTAGGGTTTGAATAGCTCCTTCATTGGCTATCAATTAATAATTCGGGGAAATGCTGGAAAAAGCATATATAGTGTCTGTGTCCATGTTTTCAGATAATTGAATTATTTTTCTTTGAAAGCTTGCCTTTACTTTTGCATTCTTTTCACGTTTCCTTAAATTTCCAGAAAAATAAATAAAAAGCAGATGGATTGTTAGTACAAAATGAAACAAAACAGTTGCAAGGCTACTCCACATTCACAATAGTTAAGTTTGGTTGTCATTTAGCGTGGAGGTTAATCTATAATACAATTCGTGTTGCCTCTGTGAATGTGATTTAATGAATTAGGACCTACAAAAGTGACTTGACCATATATCCACAAGTACGCTACAATATGAATCTTACAGTTAAACTAAACATAAGAGATGTACAGTTCGGGTGCTTTTTAAAAAAGCTATAACTCTTCATCTCTTCAATCTATTTTCAGGCTGTGATGCTGGGAGAGGCAGAATTTAATTCTTCCAAATCTGAATTGTTCCCCCTATGACCTATTTTCTCCTGGAGGCAAAATACTCCTAAGTGGCAGTTTGATGAGGAAGAGTGAAAATACTGATCTACATGAGGCTCAGAAACAAAAGTATACATTAGCACAGTTTTTCTTACTTGCTGTGTATTCTAGCCAACTTTTCTATTTTCCTGAATTGTATTTCCAAGCTATATCATGGGAAAACAGATAGGATGCTGTACCTAATAAATAACCTGTGTGTATGTTTAAAAATAACTGGACAGTCAAAAATAACAAAGTGTATTCATGAATTTGAGTTGGCACAGTTATTCACAAGCATTAGAACTTAACTAGCAAAGCTCATCACAAAGCCCAGCAATAAAACCTTTTATCTGAATAAGCTGGCTATTTATCCTGCATTTTATAGAAACCATACTTAAAAACATGTTTATGCTTCAGATTACAAAGTCAAGCTAGTGTATTTATTTTACATCATCTTTTAGAAAAGGTAGCATCAATAAATTGATAAGAAAATAATTTGAGTATCACTAAGTTAACATCTCATTCATTCTAGGCCTCCAATTTTAATGGATGGTCATGTATGAATATGAATCCAGGGGTTTTATAATCCATCTTTTTATCTCCTGCCCCACTATTAGCCTATGTGAAGATAAGACTGTAACATTACAGATACCTTGCCATTAATATGTGAAAACACAATGCCTGCATTGTGTGTATCATTTCTGATGGAACATGGAAATATAACTGGCATCTAAAATGGTATGTGTTGCCTTTATTATTGTCCTAGCCAAAATGTAAACCATTAGACAAATAGACAAGATAGCAATTCATTACTACACAAAAAGTCCCAACTTATCTGTTTACTTCACATGGCATTCTATAATTCAAAAACATTCGGTCTGGTATTTGGCTCATATAAGGATTTCTGAATATTAATTGGTCCATCATAGCGAGTAACCCAATTCCATGTTCAACATATGCTTAACATTTATGTAATTTCTATTCTGTGTGTCTTTTCTTTTTATCAGATAATCATACTCTCAATGGTTTGAGTGATCATTCTAAATTATTTTCAGGAGATTTTTTTCCATCACAAATCAGTTGTCTCAAATGAAGTAAACATTTGTTGTAGGTGTCTCAAAGGATGTTGCTGTCCAGAAACAATATTACTGGGAAATGGTAATTCATTTGCATATTTTATACATCATCTGTTGGAAATTATATTAAAATTTGGTTTCCAGTTTGATCAAAGTTAGATATAGTACAAAAAAATTTGTTGAGTTAGACTCTAAAAGCAATGATAGATCAGAGTAAAGCTCTGTTCTACTGTTATAATAGCACCACAAGGACATGAAGGAAATATTCATTAACAGGGATGATAACGTAGATGCGTGAAAACTAATCATTGATAAGTTTGTCCTCCAAGAGTTTATCCAACCATCCAAGTTAGTATCACCAGCACTAAATTCCAGAATTGAAGGACTCACTATACGAAGTAATAATTCCTTAGTCCTGATGGGTTTAAAAAAAAAATACAATATTTTCAGATGAAACTCTGATACTCATTTAAATTAACCCTTCAAGTTCTCTTAAGGGAAGATAAATGTATTCTATAAAACTTTGAGTGGTCCTACTCATAGAGCATTTATTATAAAATGATGGTAATAAAAATGGTGCTTAAAAGCAGTTTCAGCAATATCTAAATTACATATACTCTCTATATGGACTTAGTTACCTTATATATTGTATAATATATGTGTGAATGGATATATGAATAAAACACATGAGATTTTGCGCATATATAGATACTACTTTTTCTACATTTTAATTAATCCCCAATTTCCCCTGCTGAAACTGCTGACATCCATCATCTATTTGACATTATGAAGGACATAATTTATTTGTAAACTCAGGATGTTCTTGCTTTATAGACTTGCTTGTATTTTATAATTTATTTACCCATCATGATTGGAAATGCTTATCTAAATACTATGCATTAATGTGTGCTTTTGCTGAGTCCATTGCGTTCTGTCTGTGGCAATGTTCTTTTTCATAGTGAGTGATACAATAAAGTCATGTAAGGTTGGAAAGTATCCTTTGCCTTGGGCAAAATGCTTCTACTGGGTCGGTCATGAAAAGCTCCACTACAAGACAGACACACAATTCAGTATTGTCCTAAAACAGCTCAGCTTTATTTTACCAGAAAGAAACACTGGAAGCAGTAGGACAAGAGTGGAAAAGAAGCAGGAAAAGACATCGTCTGCAAGCATATCGATAGAATATGTCAAGCCTTTTGCCATTAAAATGTAAAGTTTACAGTTTGCTGACTTATAAAGGCTCTTACCTTTTGTGGTATATGAGGTGTGAAATATGCTGTCAAAATATGTTTAAAAGATATAAATGTATAGTGGCATTAAATGTTTGCTTTTTTGTTACCCATCCTAATTTCCACCAAGTCTTGACTTAAGTGGACAAATGCCATTTTTAACCAATTTCTGGAGTAAAAATATGTCAGAACAAACTACTATTTTGTTGAGAAAATAGGCATGTGAGAAAGCACTAACTTCACCAATGTGATTTCACAAGAAGACTGTCTAATTAAATAACTTCCTGTGTCAATAAGATAAAATCACTGGATATTTAAAGGGCTTAGCATTTGTTAGAAAGTACAGTTTGCTTGCCAATACCAATGGGAGTGCCATAATAAAGTGATGCTCACATCTTTACAATTTACCTTGTCATTATCTGCCAAATCATTGGCACAACCAATGTTTAATAAATGTTGATTGTGATGCTTAACCAGAAAGCAGATACAGCACATTTATTATTTTCTCTCTGAACTGTAGACACTGAGAGTCCATTTTCAGTAGCTGATTCTTAAAATGAATAATTGTCTGAATTCATAACTGACTTGGAATTATAGACATGAGCTATGCATCAGTTCTTTTCACGTCTTACAAAGCATACACCGTTTATTGATGAAATATTCTCTTCTTGGTTTAATTTCAGAGGGGCAGAGTTACCTTTTCCCAACAATCTCTGAAGATACTGTTTTCCAAAATGTATACAATCTCAGGAAAGTCAAACAAGGTCAAGAAATGTGTAGAAAGTGGAGCAAAAGGAACATAGAAAAGCAGAATGTGAACTTGTCAAGAATAAATAAAACAACATACCAATGAATAGCAACTAAGCAGTCAGCTCTTAACCGCCCAGAGTCTGGGATATAATAATTCTTCTGAAAACATTGCCAGACTTAAGGCCGGGGGGAATATATCTAATATGGAAGTTGTTGGCAGGAAGACTTTGCTTCTTGCCTTAACCAAGTAGGGACGGATGAAACCAAGATCTCAAACAATGTCTCCTCAAGTAGGTCTTTAGAATACTAAAAATAGTGTTTTGGAGCGTGAAGCTTTTTGGATATTGAGAGCTAATAGAGTACTGCTTTCCTAGCTGAAATCTTCAACAAAGGCAGACTTAAATAGAGTCCACAGTAATAAATATATAGATTGGAGATTATCAAGGTATGACAATAGCTGGATCATAGAAATGATCATTTCTAAAGTATTATGATTTTTTAGTTACTAAGGCCCTGTTAACTACAGCTATTATTTGGGATACAGGAACCAAGAAAAACTGCACACTTAATTGATACAGCAGCAGATGCTGGGCAAAATCATTGTTCATAGATGGTTGGTCTCCCTCTAAGTTGAGCTTTAGTTTGTAGTTTATTGCTACAACCTGTCCATTACTGAATCGAGGTGATATTTAAGAAGACCTAACTAGGTTTTTCCCAGACTTAGTGGGAATGCAATTCATTGTTTTTCTGACAATGGAAAAGGCAATGCAGAGATCCTATTTGAAAGCAGAGAAAAAGTATCAAAAATCTGCAGGGAAATGATGACACATTAATCTTTTGTGCATTATGCTGTGTTGTGATTTAGAATGCTTTATGAAATAGGCCACAGGCTTGTGATTACCTCAGCACAGTTTTTATGGCATCAACTGCCACTAAAGAGATGCCAATCCCCACCCAGATGAAAAACACAATAATAGTTGATGGAGTCAGTTCAAATCCCAAAAGGTGCTTTTTCTGGAGGCAACTGGACTTTGTTTTTCTTTGAAGACATTTTGCTTCTCATCCAAGAAGTTTCTTCAGTTCTGACTAGATGATGGGGAATGGAAGGTCATTTGATTCTTTTAGAGAGTTGTTGAAGCCATTTGGAGGTTTACCTGTGTCCTCAGGGTCACCTGAGTAGTGCCAATGTGTGTGGAGCTTTCTTGGCTGCAGTATGTTTTCTGCCTTTTCTGCCCTGTGTCCCGTCACTGTTAAGACACGCGCATTGGGGATGAGTCTGTGTTGTCTGCATCTCAAACTGAGGCACAAATGATTCCTGTAGTCTGCAATGTTTTCTAGAAACCCATTCATACTGCCTCACCATTCGAAAGGTGTTCATCCCAAAGTGCATAGCTAAATGTCTATGGAGATTCTCAGCCATCCAGGTCATGGTTATCCCAAACGTTGCTTTTTCAGGAGGCAACTGGCCTTTTTTTTCCAGAAAACATTGCAGACTACAGGAACCATTTGCACTTCAGTTTAAGATGCAGACAACACAGACTCATCCCCAACAGCCTGCTCCTGTCTTCCACAGTGAAGGGATACAGGGCAGAAAACATCCTGCAGCTAAGAAGGCTCCATACACATTGGTACTACTCAAGTGACTCTGAGGACACAGGTAAACCTCCAAATGGCTTCAATGACTCTCTAAAACAGTGTTTCCCAAACTTGACAATTTTAAGGCATGAGGACTTCAACTCCCAGAATTCCACAGCCAGCAACGCTGGCTGTGGAATTCTGGGAGTTGAAGTCCACATGCCTTAAAATTGTCAAGTTTGGGAAACAATGCTCTAAAAGAATGCAAATGACCAGCTGTCTGCAAGGAATATAAATCCTTCCATACCCCACCATCTAGTCAGAGCTAAAGAAGCTTCTTGGATGAGAAGCGAAAAATCTTCAAAGAAAAAAAAAGAAAGTCCAGTTGCCTCCTGAAAAAGCACCTTTTGGGATAACCATGACCTGGAAAACCCAGAATCTCCATAGACGAGTCAGTTCAAACATTGTCAACATCAGGCAATTTAATAGGCAACCAGTCCTGAATTTGTTTCTTGGCTTGATTCTTTCAGTGGGAGAGGAAACAAGACTGGGCAAAATTAAGATGGATAAGGATTCTAGACAAAAATGGTAAAAGAGCTTTTGTCTTGCAATGTGACGAATTAAATATTTTGCCTTAATTAGGCCATTTTATTTTCTATTCATTGCTAATCCAAAGAAGTCTTCAGAATTTTCCTCATTGTATTTCTTTTATCCACTTCAAAATGGATGATAAGGTATTAAGCAATTCATCTTGTTACATACTAACTCCATTTTTAAATGCTGTTCATTGTATTCTAATATGCTCAGCATCTTCATCACCACAGCTTGCTAGGGATTGAATCTGAGAGTAAACTGTTTAATCTCTCTTCTATCAGAACCTAATACTGAAATTCCTGGAACTGCCCTTAATACTACAATAATATATTATTTCCATGAGAGAAGTAAATATGCAGATGTGCATTTAAGGAAATGAATACAGTATATTCTGATTACTATGAGCACTAAAAAGAATTTGAACTACTAAAGGATCAAGGTGATTAGTAAATGAATAAAATAAAAATATAAAGTCATAATAAAGTAAAATAAAAACTTGATGGTAACAATAGTAGTCACTTTACTTCAATTTTCCTCTATCACAGGTCTCTCAGCATCCTGGATAGTAGTATGGTGAATTGCACGCCAACATACCTATCAAAGGCCTCCAGAGTTGTAGTACAGCTGCTAACTCTCATCAGCCAAAATAACATATTTTGTAAATTACACTCCTAGCAAAAGACCATGGAGAATTATCAGTGTTGGCTGTTTTTGTCATGTTTTCAAGGTTAGACACAAGCATTTCAAACAAAGAGAATGCCAAAGAGTGAGGGAACCTGCCTTGTGGTAAATTATTTGTTTTATTCCTGAAAGGAAGGGCTGGATTTGGTTCCAGGTTTGTTATTCAAAGCTAAACAGCTTTAACAATTCTCAGGGATGCTGGTTAAATAATGATTGAAAATAAGGATCATGATGACATTTATCAGAAGGCACCTCACTTCTGTAATCCTTTGTGGCCGTTTTTTTTTATGGTTTTGGTTTATAAACTTTAAACAAAGAGCCCGTAAAACTCAGTTGCTAATCCCAGCCATTCAAACCAGCACTACAATTATCTTGCAGGGAAATATAAGATAGCAGAAGTGGGATGGATATGATTTAAAGCTGGGTTTAAGAAACATAATTGGTCAAAAATGAAATTAAAATCCTGGGCCATGTAGACTAATTTAAATGGGCTGAATTATATTTTTAAGAAATTCATGTGCTTCAAACTGAAGTGTCCATGTAATTTCTTTCACTCCTTTTAGGACTCTTAAGCCTGATCTGAAAAGGATTCAGAAAGGGGATGCTTTAATAGTTCATTTCCATTTATGTGACCCAAAACAGCATCCACATACCTCTTCTGTTGCCATTTGTTGATTTTTGCCAGTCCAGACTGCATACTAGGAAGTCCATGGCAAGAGGCTCTGAAAAAATCATTCTCTCTGCCTGACACTGTCTTGCCAGAGACAAAGTTTAGAAAAAATCTATCATGTTTTTTATCTTAGATCTTTATTTCAGCTTCTCCATTTTTCAGCACTTCTTCAATTGAGGCACTGCTAATCTTTTTTTAATGTTCATTTTAATATTTTGAGCTTTTTTCAGTCCTAATTGCCACTTCCGCCTGTTCTATTTTCCTGATATTTTAGACTTTAGTCCACCAAATCCTGAAACCAAAGTGCAGCACAACTCTAGAGCAGAAAAATAAGATAGACTATGTATACTTCCAGAAACTGTGAAATAAATTAGGGGGTTTACGGAGGTCAAAAAAGTCAAGATGTCAGCCATAACTGATTAAATGAAGCTTACTCAACTGCACATGAATAAAGGCCCAAGGTTTGATTGCTCAGTCATAGCAGCCATCTTGACTTGAACACACACACCAGACACATCCAAAATGGTGTGAAAAGAAAATGGTGACATGTTCAACACCTACCATCAAATTCAAAATGGTTGATCACAATATTTTTTCTGAACAGCTTCCCATCATACACCAATATACACAGCACTTTGGGTTTCAAATATATTTTATCTATATGTCAATTACCGTATATGCCGGCGTATTAGGCGACCCGGTGTATAAGACGACCCCCGTCTTTATATCCGGGCCGCATTCCTAGAACATCGTCTTATACGCTGGAAACTACCAGTATTTCCGGCGTATAAGACGACTCGGCGTATAATTCGACCCCCGTCTTTGGCGCCGATTTCAGCACTCGCGGAAGTCGTCTTATACGCCGGCATTTATGGTATTACATTTTAAAAATGTAGTAACCATAATTACAAATGGTGGCAAATGAGTTATTGCTATTTCTTGTAGCTTAAAGAAAAAAAAATCTTACTATGGAAGCTTGATCCCTTTCTAATAGGTCAGTTCATCAAAACAAATGTGCCATCTTCAAATTGCTTAACATGTATTGTTAGGCCAAGAGCAGGCATAGTAGCATTTCTAATTGTTTTCTAGTGTATCAGAAGCCTAAAATGGAAGTTTGTTGTGCTTTTAGCAGTTACTATTTGCATAGGTTAGTAGAGTTGCAAATTGCGTTCAAAGGGAATCAGAAGATGCTGTCAATCATGGTACAATCAATTTAGGTAGGAAATACTATAAAGTCATTAGGAGGATTTTCCCCTCCTGCACAGATTGGTTATTGGTATTTTCTGAGAGACTCAACCAATGAAACAAGGCTACATTTTATCAGGGCCCAGTATTACAGATACAAAGGCTATTTATTTTATGCATATTAAAAAAATGTCTATTGGCGCTTGAGGTCCCATCTCCATCATGGAAAAAGCAGATTGTCCCAATGTTGTTAAGACATACCTGAAGAAGTTCCTACGAAAGATGCCCTGTTGAGGACTTAAGAGTGTAGGATGAATAATCTAGGAGTAGGTATCTTGAGTTATGCACCACAGTTCCAATTGCTGGGTTGCTCAATGAATCAGTACCATAGTACTCCTGAGCTTTCTTTACTTTCTTATGGTTGCTATTTCAGAACATAATGTTGGACTCTAGTATGACTTCTTTTAGAATCAATTTAGAATTACGCTTTCCCAAGAAATAGTCCTATCATAATTCCTCTCCCATGCTGCCAAATACAGCAATAACATTTCTTTGTAGCATTTTCTAAGAATTTTCTCATGAAATATTGTTTTAAGTCTATTTTTGGGCAAGAGTACAATTAACTCCTCCTCCATCACATTAAACGTATTTCATTTTCAAAGAATGCAATTAATTTTTTGTAAAGTGCACATAGCCATATGGACTGTGAGAGAAGCTGAATGAATCTGAGAAAATTTGCCATGATTTTGCTATAATAAGGAATAGTCAATTAAAGGTTGTCAGAATGAATTGTCAATTTATGTTTACAACTGTGTAGATTCCATAGGATGAAAAATAGATAAATGCTTTAATTAAAGCAATCAAAATGTTACAAAATAGCCTGCTTTGCAGACATATTATTAAGACTGGATGTAAGATAAGCCAGGGGAAAAAGAATATAATAAGCCAAAGGATAATTGTATAATTTTAGACAATAATATTTAAAGATATAAGGCACTGTGAGCACAGGCACAGATTGTCACAATTGTGTGGGAAGTAGCCCACATAATGTGATTAATTTGAAATTAGGTTAATGAACAGAGTAACAGGAGAATGTTCACCCACTGATCCAGGTGTTTATTTTATTACAGGATAATTTTGCTGTTTTCTTCAACCAATTTTTCTTAAATGTGCTTTCTGCAGTGTACCTCTGCTGGCACCATCTTCTCTGTGCATAGACTTACACAGAAGCTATTTTAGGAATTACAGATTCAATGTGACTATTCTTTTCCTGGATGGCATCCAGGTCTCTTTAAGAGCTCTTTGATTATGCAATCTGTTCTTGTGCATAATAAGGAGGAAATATAGATTGGACATTCTTGCCAGCTCTAACCCAACATATAAAATTAAAAGAAAGTTTTTAACAAAATTTTATATTTTATAATCTGTATTAATATGCCTGTTGAACTGCTCCATTGAAGGGCAAGGCAGAATGAGTACATCCATAAGCTTTTATATACCTGGTTTATGACTCTATTTGTGATCTTTATAAAGCTATATTCAACTTCAGATCTTTTTTCTTTACAGTTTTTACCCCATCTGACAAGTTGTATCTTATTAGCTTAGCAGAAAACCCTGTATTTTATACTGTTGGTTGATTATATGCCACTATGTCAGTATTGAGCCTTAGGAATGACACAGATTTTCTCCAGAATAATCTCTCCCCAGTCTGGCCCCCTAAGGTATTCTAGTCATGCACTCATCCTGATGTAACATTGCTACTACTTGTCTTCTAATTTATCGATAACACTAGAGCAGCGGTTCTCAACCTATGGGTCGCGACCCCATTTGGGGTCGATCGACCATTTTTCGGGGGTCGCCAAAGGCGGCGATCCGTCATTTTCTCCCCTCCGGGGGCGCCGCCGCACATGCGCTCTGCGCATGGGGACGGCGCTGCGCATGCGCGCTGGGGCGCCGCTGTGCATGGGGCGGCGCATGGGGGCGACGCGGTGCATGGGGCGGCCCCACACATGGGGCGGCGCATGGGGGCGTCACCGCGCATGGGGGCGTCGCCGCGCATGGGGGTGTTGTCGCGCATGGGGCGCCCCCGTGCATGCACTGCGCATGCACACGGCACCGCACATGCGCAGAACGTTTGTGTGACGGGGTCGCCATCACACAAACGTTGAGAACCACTGCACTAGAGTGTTAGCCCACTTGATCAGAAATTATAATAGTATCTTATCATTTTGGACAATTTTCATGTTTCCAATCATCAATTTTTAAGGAAGATTAACAACAGATCACATGGTGTCTGCAGATAATTTTGGAAGAAATAGATTACCTGGACCCTTTCCAGTCAGATTTCAGTATGGGGCTGAAATGGTTGTGGATGACCTCTGGTAGGCTTGGATACAGATAATCCTTGCTTTTCTTGATATTCAGCAGCTTTTGTTACCACTGAACCTTCTGGACCGGCTTCAGGATTTCAGGAGGCAGTCTTGTACTTTCCTCTGGGATGGATTCCAATCAGTGTGGATATGAAGGGAGAGATCCAACTTGCAGCTTCCATTGTGTGGGCTGCTTCAGGGATTGACATTCTCCCCATTCCTGCAGGAAACTACTGAGTGAATTTATCCAATGGCACAGAGTGCAGAACTATCGGCATGCTGATGATACCTAGCTGCACCTCTCCACTCTGGCCTGGCTAAGTGATAACATGGAGGTTCTGCTCTTTTATTCAAACAAAGATCTAGTGTGGCTATGAACAGGAAGCAGTGTATGAACAAAGGAAACAAGAGAAATACCATCATATGACCAAGTGCAATGGTAAATGGGAAAGGCCTTGGGAGACAGAAGACATGCTGTCTAGGGAATGGTCAGATAAGAGATGGCATAGCCTGCAGCTGTATTACAAAGAGATTCAGAAGGCACCCTTCCTAATTTCTCACTCTGTAAAAGAGACAGGTGATTTGCAATATCAGATTTGCAAAATTCTGTTAAGGTAGCCTTACAATAAAATAGCATTAGCTCATCTGGTTATGTTTTCTGTCTGGTCTGCTCAAAAAATGCTGACACCAAGCCAGAAAATCGTTTTAGGTGATGTTATTGCTGACAAGCCATATCAGAGCCTCGCTGCCATTCTCCAATCTTGCAACAAATCAATTTTTCTGACTTTTGGCTCCCTTGGTTTTCACTGATATTAGCCTGACGTGAATGTGAAAGAAACTGTCAGATGAAATACAAAAAAAAAAATGTGTGTCTGTAATACTTGTGTGATCAGGAGACAGTTATATGAAGTGCAGCCAAGTCTTTCACCTGGTTGCACGGCAGTTTAAAATGATGAGGTAGACCACTTGCACAAAAGATCTAGAAACTTGTTCCTGGAATTGACAAACAATTCAGTGAAGTCTATGAACAAGACATGATTTGAGAACCTTCTGATCTGATATTCAAATTATAGTTATGCCATCATTGTTTTCTTTGTAAATTTTTTTATATATATACATAGGAAGAAGTCTTTTGCCTCACCTTGAATTGATTCACCTTCATTTGTTTAACTCTCAGAGACTTATGAACCCCCGCCCCTTTTCTCCCCTGCAATCAACACCCCAATGGGAGAAAAGCATAAAGCACATCTACTCTACAACTCTACGGCATTTATTGTCCATAAATTAATCTGTCCAACAAATAGCTCTCAAATAAAAATAAATGCCCTTTCCATTTACTGCTGCTGCTGAGACAAGCACAAAAAATCATAATCAATGGAAAGTAATACAAAAGGTGTGAAGCTTGGTTGACCTGACAGCCTGTGAAGGCCAGACCTGCAGTTCAGCCCATGTTACTCAATCAGAATCAATGGGAGGGGATGATGTCTTATTTAATTTACACCATTTTAGACACTGCATGAGGAAAGACATATAAAAATGAGTATGACAGCACCTTAAAAACCACCCACTTCAGTTAAAATCCCATATCACCATATTTATCTGGGTATCTGATGAGCTGTGGTTCACGAAGGATTATGCCTTTTAATCAAATTGGTTAGCCTGAAAGGATGCTACTAGATTTCTTCTGATTTTTATGTTTTGTGTGGATTAGCAGTTATCTTCAAGGAAACTTCTGAACTGCACGAGGGAGCCCAGCATTTCACAAATGCAATTATCTGTATATCAAGTGCAGTCATATACAGAACAATCTGGACTTTTCTCCTAATAATGTTTATTGTGCTAAAAAGAAATATGCTTATGACAGAGTGCTGACATAACCCCATCTTTGATCACACTAGGCTCCATGTTGGGCCAGGGAAGTGCATGAAGTTTCCTTTGTGGTATCACATTCAAAAGTTTGGAAGAGATTATACTCCTGTATTGGCATTTGTGAGTTGCCATTCTGACTTATGTCCAGAGTGCTCATTTTCTCTGAAATGTGTTTTCACCGTATTGTCATAAATGCTTTCAAGCTACTGACTTAAACGGACATGACATTTAAGAATTAAAAATTAAGGCCCCCAAAATTTCACTCTTGTCACAAACTTCAAATCCTTCTAAGAGTTGATTGTTGGGAACTTTGGAACAGCCTGATACTGAGTGAGGCTCTTGAGCCATCTTGCTCAGCAGCATCAACCCTAACGATCTCCACAGGGTTTCGGGCAAGAATTTTTCCTGATGCTCCTGGAAATGCCAGGAAATTGAACCTAGGACCTCCCACACGCAAAGCATGTCTTTGACTAATGAGCTACAGCTTTCTTTTCAGAGGACTAAAACTTAAGTGAGCAGATTTTTGTCTGGCAGATTTGAAGTGTGCATTTTAAGTGAGAAAATGGATGGGGGAAGGAAGGGGGGGGAGAAAGTACATAGCAATGTTCTTGTTTAAAGCAAGCAATATCTGCCTTCAGAACATGCATTTACACTGCAGTTTCAAGGATGGGTTGCATATTCTTCGTAATCTAAGATTCAGTTTTTAATCATGTACAATGTCAAGTTCAGTCACAGGGTTGTTCCATCCAAGAAACTCTGTTATAAGAATCTCTGCACTCCTGGAGATTTGCTTCAAGTCAAATCTAGACAGAACATTGCTCAGAATGGGAATTGTGTAGGTAATTTCTTCCATCTGGTAAGAACTAGCCTATTTTCCCAAAATAAATGAATATAAAATTTGCTAGTCAAGGTGGATAAAATTGGACAAGAATGCGAGACTGAGCACTTAGCATTGGAAAGACACATTAACTACACAATTATAGGTATATTTATTCAGAAGTAAGACCTTCCCCATTTAATGGAATGTCTTTAGTAGGAAGCATACAGTGAACTGCAATTGTTGTTGGCTGATTCACATTCTGAGAACTTTTGTATCTGGGGGCATAAACATTACTGCAGTATTACTAGATAGGAAGAATGCAGATGATTCAGGAATAAATTGATTCTGTTCATCTTTCTGCCTCCCTTCCTCCCTCTCTCTTCCTCCTCTGATGCTGATACATCACTCAGGGCAGAATCACTCAGAACAAACAGCTAACAAATGACACTGTTGGAAGTTTGCATCTCAATTGTATCTTCAATTTCCATGATTAATAATCTAACAATAAGCATGCTGTGCAACAAATATACAAGGAACGTGGAATGCAAGGAAACTGAGTTCTAGTCCTGCCTTAGGCATGAATGTCAGCTGGTTGACTTTGCCCAGTAACTCTCTCTCTCAACCACCTAACAGGGTTGTTGTTGTGGGAAAATAGGAGGAGGAAGTATTAGGTATGTTCATCATCCTGAGTTATTTATAGAAAATAAAATAAAAGTGGGATTAAAAATACATCTAAAATAAACAAAACAAATCACTGCATACCTGGAAATGAGAACACTTTGTGGGAGCAATTTATGATAGGACAAAAGGACAGTGATGAAACTAAATTCAAATACTTGCAATGTATTCGGAGGTATGAGTCTTAATTTATACCCATCTAATAATGCACTTACACAAATTAGCATTTTCTATACTTTCAATTACAAACAAATTGTAGCTTGGAATTTTCCTGGTGTCTTTTCAGCCCATTTCTCAGCAGGAAGCAGTTCTTGCTGGAATTACTGATTGTTGAAAAATTTCATTTGGAGAAATAGCAAAAGTAATAATGTGAAGATTATATAATAAAACAACTAGACTATTTTTTCTTGCAGAATTCAGATCAATGGAAAGCTACTCAATATGTATGGCGATTTTACTGCCATATGTTTGGTTGAGAAAGATACTTATTTTCTTCTGAGTCTCCTTTTTTGTTGTCCTTCTAGGTTGTGTCTTGCACGTCATCTTTATTATAATAACATGCCAACTTCCCACTCTTCTTTAAGTATCATCAGGTCCTGCATGAGGCTATGCTCTGTCCCATGAGTCACTTTTATAATATCATAAGCCTGAAATGCAGAAGAAATACAGAAGAAAAACATTCTGTTATCCTTGATGGTATGCCTCTAAATATCTCCATCTGGAATATTTTATTTCTAAAAAACAATTTGCAACTTCGCCAGTATAGATTGTCACTTCAGCTTGTCTCTTCATATATTCCATAACAATGCAACCTCTTTTCTACTAGTTTATCCAGATTGCTATGGAATTTACTGCTCTTGATGCTCCTTTGCTTGGCCTCTATATATTTTAATATGCCATGTGCTTTGGAATATGTTTAGTTTAAGCAGAAAACATATGTGCACCTTTCAAGGTAATCCAGCTTAGTAGCATAAGAGCAGCATTATGGAACTGGTCCTGCCTTGTTTTCCTCCATGGTCTGAAAAAGGTTTCATTTAGCATTCAGATCTATAGAAACAACAGTGCCAAATAAAGGAAAGAATTTAACTATGAGCTACCCTGAGCAAACAAATAGGATACTCAGCATAGTATCAAAAACCACACGGCTTCTCTCCTCAAGAATATAAAACTCATTAAGTAATTGATAAGGAAGTGCAAGTAAAAGCCCAGCACATTCATTTATGTCTAATTTGCATTTGGATTGGACAGGCTACCTAACATCAGAGACACATGTAGAGGTATGCAAATACACCTCTCTGCTGCTGTCATGATGAAAGGACAGAGCAAGGTCCATCATGCTAATGGGCTACAAAGCAAAGGCCAGGATATTGAGGAAATAGTTTCAGTTTCTCCTTTATCCCTCAATTACAGGAAGGCTTCTTAGAGATGCAAAGAAAGGCCACACTCGTGTTATTTACATCACATATATAATAAATAATGCATAGGGCAAGCTGGAAGGAACCAGTTCAAATGGAATCTATTTGGAAAGGGCTGCCTGTGATTCTGGAGCAGATACATTTGGGTTATGTCCCTTTATAGCAGGAAACTGATACAGATGGACTATACATGCTTTGGGGTAAGAGCTTAATGTCTCAGCAGAGGACTTACTGAATTCTTACAGATTTCCAATCATTTATAGTAGTCTTGGCATATTGTGTGATATAAAATTCTTGGAGGCTAGACTTCTTCCTGATTTCCTCAATTTTTCTGTATACTTCGCAGAGTTTTGTTTTGTTTTGTTTTTAGGAGTCCTACTAGTATCGAAACATAAAATCTGCCCTTTGTCTATTTTGGATCACAAATGTAATCTTTTGAAGTTTGAAAAAATATAATTAAAATATCTTTAATTGTAGGAGTCTTTGGAGGTTACAGTTTAGTGTAGGACTTATGAAGATTATGAAGATTAACCCAAGTTTAATCTCCAGAAGGTATGCTAGGAATCTATTTCTCTAATTACAGGCAAAACTAGATTATAACATTGATATGGATGGATATCTTCCAGGGATGCAGTGAAATGATCACTCATTTATAGACGTCAGACTTAGGAATTCAACAATTCTATCAAATGAAGCTACTAGATGTCAAAATCAATTAAATGTGAAAGAAATAACAGTTATGAAATAACATGAAATTAACTGAAAACTTTATTTTTAATTACATTTTATTACAGATAGTAGCACCTCAAAATCAGCTTTCAACAATGTTATTATTGTTAGTGTTATTACTACTACTATCCTGAATCAATCTACTGAAGCATGAAGGCATCTTCACTGAAGATTCTTTCATGATGGTCCAGTGCAGGTAAGTAGAAAGATTTTTGGACTTTCCAATCTAGGGTTGAGAAGAGTGAATAGCCCAAAGCCATCAAACTGGCATCTATGGCCAAGGTCAGATTGGAATTTTAGTCTCACAATTAGTAGTGTAGCATCTTAATCACTAAACCATTTTGGCAATCCCTTCAAATAAAACGTGAATTTACGTGTGCACATCTGGGTGTGTGTGCACATATACATATGTTCATATAAGAAGTGTATGACTTAATGCTAATTCTTAAATGATGATTTGTAATGGGCAGAAGACACGCACCATCTTAAGCTCAGTGAGAGAAAGGCCAGAAGCCTAACAAATAAGACAGAAGCATTAAAAAAAAAAAAATCTGATAACAATCTCAGATAAAGCATTATAATAGATTAGTTGAATTTTAGAAACTTTCTTTTACATCCTTAAACAAGAAACTGGAACTTAAACTACAATATGTGAAACTTTACAAAGAATCAGCTGGGGAATTACATAAGGCAGCTGTCACAAAGCTATGTAACTCGAGCAAATATATACAGTGACTTTTCCAGAAGGTCTTGTGCATTTTATAAATCTATCACAAATTTAGAAGAAACTCCAAATAAGGAGCAGCCAGCTGAAACAGGTTCAGGTCTGCATGCAATGAACTTCTATATATAGGACACCATTCATGTGCAACCAACTTGCTTTATACCACATAACTAAAACCTTATTTTTTGTCTCACCAAATGTCCTTTAAAGTTTAAACAAGCTAATAGATTTAATTATCTTTAGTAACTTATTTTTCTACAGGAAATTATTTTGTTTAAGTACTTTTACAGATTTGGTTTCAGACTGCTATTGAGCTGAATGAATTGTTAACAAAATAAATAATGGAAAACATGTACTGCTTTCAGAAACAAGTTAGTTACTAATATATTTCCTTTCAATAATGATGAGCAGATTATGCATATACGACGTATTGCTATTCTGAACTGGTTTACAAATAATTCATATGAAGAAACTTCCTCCAATCAGATCTTTTAATAATACACGTTCTTTGCAGTGGTCAGCACTAAATTAAATGTGTTCATGACTTAATTATACTCAGATTTTGATTGTCCTCTTTTTCATCAGCATTCCATCCCAAATATTTCAGGTGAATTTCAGAATTCTTACTAGTTTATGATCAAAGGAAGCATTTCCACTACTATTTACATTGCCTTCCCCGTTCAGTGAGATGCAGAACATGATCAATATTTAAAAAGGAGAAGCAGATTAAGGTACTGAAACAGTCTCTTGTTCATCCAACTTAATAGCTATTTGCCATTCAAGGTTTGGGGTGATTAATGATACCCCCTCAGATACTGAACAGTAATTACCAACCACTGCTATTAAAGTTAAGTCTCTCCTGGAAACTGTAAGCAGCTCACTTTGTAGCCATTGCCTCTGGGCTTAGATGTAAAAAAGTGGGAGAGTGCTTTCTGACTGACATTTGGAAAGCGAGGTGAGTGAAAAGAGGTTGCAGAAACAATTAGGAAGAAAGAGACTGTAGGACCAGTGAGCAAAACTGACCTGTTTCAGGGTTGCAAGGGCCTGGGAGGACATGTCCTGGTGGAACTGCAACTTGGCCACTCTCATCATCTGGATAGCCTTCAAAGGATGGAAGCTGGGATAATAAAAACTGAAAAGAAGGGCAGGAAGAAAATTACACCCATTTGTCAGTTCTCACTTTCACCATCCCTACCCCAGTGGAGAGCCATTAGAGTAGGACTACAAAGCCACTGTGAATTTTAATGAGGTATTAGGGAGAAATTAGCCAGCGTTGAGGAGTGTGAAATACTGAAGGTTTGTTAACAAAGTATTATTTTCAGTCTTGGAACAGTTCTTATGTTATCCTGTTAGAAAGTGACAAGGGTAGGATTATTTCCCCCACCTTCCTGAGACAATGCAATAGCCAGCAAAGCAGCATTCAGTCTTTTTTTAAAATAATATTTTTATTAATTTTCTAACTTTACATTTAGGTATTTAAAAAGCAACATGGTGGCTGGGTTAATCAATAGTCCAGTAACATACAAAAATCTTTAGTACAAATCTCAAACTACAACCTCAAATATTTCCTCTCTTTTCCCTTAATATCTACTATCTCATATTTAAGCTAATGCAGTTCTTACTATATCAACTAAATAAAAACATCATAATTACATTTATCAATAATTTTTTAGCTTATACATATCTTAATTACTTTTACATTCAATCTTTACATTCAATCAATGTCCTGTTATTGGTTTTTCCCAATTTTTAGTTTCTCATCAATATTCAAATTTAACATTTGATATTTATAATTTCTAGGTTTTAGATAACCAAAGTTTCCTTTATCTCAATTCATAACAGAATCTAATGTTCAAAATACACATCTTATCTATTTGGTATAATCTTGTTCTATTTCCTAAAAGTTATCTATTTCCCCCCCATCTTACATCATCTAATTAATAATACAGTATCCCCTTTAATAAATCAAAGCCCATTATATGTATTATCTGAGTTAATCAATAAATCAAACATATTCATAATATTTTTTTTCTTTTGGGTCTAATTTTTAAGTATTAAACAAATAGCATCCTTATTTTCAACTAATTTCCAAATGTTTTAAATTTAATGACCAAACTTTTCCTTATCTCAATTTTTCCCTTTGACCCACTAATTAGTAATATGAAATCCACTCTGATAAATCAAAACTCCAATTTTCTTCAGCCTTATTTTGGCTTTCTTTCTTTGCCAACTAGCCTTCCATGTCAATGCTTTTAAATCATCAAACAGAACTCCCTCTATTATTATATATATTGTTTGGAATAAGGGAGACCATTTAGTTGCCATTTTTCTGGAAGGGCTAGCCCATTTGTATTCCTTAAATCCCTATTATTTCAAATCCCCATAATTGTCCTGGTATGTTTATCTTCCATTCAGTCTGTTCTTCTTGCTCCTCAAATCTCTTCTGATTTATATAGAAAGTCTTTTCCATTTTCAGTGTTGTCAGCCCCTTTTCTGGATATTCCATTGACTGTATTTGTTGGTCAATTGAGTTCTCTGTCTTAATATTTGATTGTTCCACTTCTTCTGTTACCTTCTGCATTGTTAGTTCTTTAGTTGTAGTCGGAATTTGAGTTTGTATATCTAAACTGACATCTTGTTCTTTTCTGTAACATCTTATTTCGTCACAAGCTGAAAGGATGGTTTCATGTATTACTTTCAGCATGGAAAGAATCTTTTCCTGATCTTCATCCATCTTCTCTTAATGGTGTGTTAGGTTTAGGACTTTGAAATCAGACAGTGAAAATAATTTTATAGCTGGGTATGGGACCTCTATTTCACATGTTTGTAAGTAGTCTTTATAGTAAAAGTCGTTTGTCAAGTAAGATTTTATAATCCAAGGTATTTCATCATCTCAAATAATGACCAATATTCCTCAAATAAAAAAGTAGGAAGGCAATTCCCCACATACAGCTCTAAAATCTATAAAGGTTTACATTCATAGTTCAAGGAGGCCAGCCATGCTACCCAGAAGTTCTCTTTACAGCTGAACCTCTCACAGATGGTGTTTATCAAAGTTAAAAGAGACTTATCTGTAGTCTGGGCTTCAAGCCAAGTCTCCTTTAGGGAATAACAAGTTGTAATACCAAGCTTTGCCATAAGATGTCACCAATGCTGCTTAAAGTTTTTTAAGTCCAAAATTTTTATAGTCCTTTTTCCAATTTTATTTCTTTTTTATGATAAAAATAAAAGTCTTCGGTGAAAATAAGAAAACTTTTAGTCCTCAAGTTTCAGAAACATATAAATCTAATTAGATTAAAGTTATTCTTTAAATGCTTTAACTCCCTGGGTAGTCAGTCGCCAGTATTCTTAGAGGGTGGGATAGAAATTCCCTTCCCTCTCTCCTCACAGGGGGAAAGATACTTTGGGCAGCTTTTAAAGGAAGAAAAATACTTAGGATCTTAGAGAGAAGATTGGATCTCACCCAGTTTCATCTGCGTTGCTTTAGAAGTGCCTGGTGGTAAGTGTGACTTCGACTATCTGAAGCCTGGTGACGAGCCACATTGTTTATGGCCAGTCTTTCCTCTGCCGGTTTGGAGGGCTGCCTCGCATCAAGTGGAAGAGCTGCCGCCCTCCCACAATCAAGTAGGGATCCCCTCCTTGTTCGTCACCCCTAGAGGGCAACTTTCAACCCTTTCCAGGGTCCCCCAGTGGAATGAAACCTAACACGGAAGACGGAGCTCGTCTTCCAGTGGCTGCAGCAGCTGCAATGGCAAACCGGAAGCCACATTCAGTCTTACTAACATGGGGGCAATGCCGTTTTCACTAGGAATCTTTCAGTGTAGGACCTGAACCTTCATATTCCCAGATGCTGCCTGAGCTTTGATTTTATGGTTATTTGGGACTTATACTTCCTAACATGTGACTCATAAAATATGCAGTGACTAAAGGGAAAATCATTTGTCTTATCGAAACCAGACTTTCCTATCCTGGCATCCTCCCGCCACAATTTCTGGGAATTATGGCAATGGCTTACACTGTGAAATGCGTAGGAAAGATGCTTTCAGTCAAGGAGGAGAATAATGTTTTTGGTGAAAGATGCACCTTTCTTAAAATCAATTAATAATTGGATTCTCTGGCTGAAAAGTGTGAGAATCTGACTGCAAGGGATGATATCCATGGAATGGGTGGGACTGAAATGTTTATCCAATTGGGGGTGGAGTGGTGAAAATTAAAGGGAAAAATTCTTCACTCTTAAGGTGAAGGCACTGATTTTGCCCAATAAAAAGAGAGCGTGCACATAGAGAAACACGCGCAGGAAATAATCACAGGCTTTCACAGTCCTAGTGAAAACCATAAGGTCCAAGAAACCTCATAGATGGATATGGCCTATAAAGTTTCTCTTCTTTCCTCAAATATGAATTCAATAAACAGTGTACAGCAAGTAATACATTTTTAGCCTCCTATATTTAGTGGGAACACAATAAAAACAGTAGTGCTATTAGGATTCCTGAACACTGTTGGAAACATGTTGACTAGTCCTACAAATGCTGACTAGTCCTAACCATTGTTTTTAACTATGAATTTCCCCTTAGCCACTACACATGCATATTTTATGAGTCACATGTTAGGAAGTATAAGCCCCAAATAACTCACAAAATCCAAGTTCAGGCATCTGTTGTTTTCTGGTAGAAACAGATATTTTAGATAGATTAAATTATTCTGAACAAGCAGGCAAAGCAAAGCATGGTTTGCCAACTTTTTCATAAGTGAGAAGTATGCGTACCAATAATTTAAAATCAAACCTGATGTCACCTTTCCCAAAATGGTCTTCTCCTTGTTTAGAGTTTGCCAGACCTCCATTCAAATATCCTGTCCCCATAAATGCTACTATTTCCATGCATCAGAGAAACAAGAATGGCTGTCAACCTGGGCCACTGAGCGTAAAGCCACTTGAAATAACTGATGTCAGGAAAGTCAAGAAGATGACTTCCTGAGCTCTTTCACCAATGGTGCTGATTGGCCTTTTGCCAGGCTGCCCGGCCATTCTCTCTCAGGCAGGAAATTGATCATGCAGAGTCCTCCCACATCAGACCTACTGAGACTTGTTTAAAAATTGCATCCAACTCCTAAGGTCTGTAAAGATTTAGGATTAAGGTAAACGATACTAGAGGAAGTAGTAACTAATTAAGCAATGTCAGGTAGATAACTAAAGCCAGTCATAGGTATAATTTAAAAACAGGAAATTCAAGAGGTGAAGGTAAAGGAAGCAAGCATGAAATGGAGTGTACAGAGAACATAAATATTTACAAAGCTGTTTTATTGGACTGATTTATGTACTTGTTCCATGCATGGGCTTAGTGGCTTTCCATTAGCTTTAAATCTGACACTTAAAATAGCTGCCTGGTATTATTTTCTGTAACAATGTTTGTAAAATTCGTTGAATATTCTTTGCATGGGACACATGCTAACAACCTCTTTGTATTCTCTGGGAGGAGAAATAAAAACGAATGTCCAAACAGCTGGGTCCCACTGAACTTCAAATAGAAGATAGCATGGGGACAGTTCAATTTGTTAATGACATACTTAAGTTCAGCTCCCAAAAGACTAGAATCTTAAGGCTATCTCAGAAAAGTAAAAAGAGACTGACATACATAGTTAAAGGATTAAGCCTTCAAATATATTTCGGATATACCTAGATAGAATGAAGGAATATAGTGCTACTACTAGTTTAATTGGCTCTCACATCCTAGATCCTAGGAGAAAGTACCATGAGTGGCTCATCACTGACCATGATTCTCATCCCAGTTCAGGTTTAACCCCATATAGTCATAAGTAACAAGCACTATAATGAAACTTGATGACTCTCATGTCAGCAGTTAAGAATACATTGTAACTAAGAATATAATTATTGACTATTGAAATTGATTAAGAATTAGTCAAATTTAAGGGACAACAGAAAAAGAGTTCACTGTAAAACATGTACAGGTAGTCCTCAAATTATGATCATTCATTAACAATTGTTTACAGTTACAACAGTGGTGAAAAAAATGACATATGACCAGTCCTCACACTTACAATTGTCGCAGTCTCCCATGGTCACTTAATCAAAATTTGGGCATTTAACAACCAGAATATATTTATGATGGCTGCAGAGTCCTGGGCTCAGGTGATGACCATTTACAACCTTCCCAGGGAGCTTCTGACAAGCAAAATCAATGGGGGAAGCCTGGATTCACTTAATGACTATGTGATTTTCTTAACAATTGTGACAAAAGTGATAAAATCAGGTATACCTCACTTAATGACTACATTGCTTAGTGACAGAAGTTCCAGTCCCATTTGTGGGAGTAAGTCAAGGACTACCTGTAGAAGAATGAGGGATGGTACCTTGTTTTCAGTTCTGCAGTATTCTCTCCTTGAGACATCCATATAAACTACATCAAATCTTTGTAGGGCAGTGATGGCAAACCTTTTAGAGACCGAGTGCCCAAAACTGCCCCACCCCTGCCCCACCCTCCCTGCTTCATCCCTGCCCCGCCCGCAGGGCCACCCACCGCCTCCATGGCCCTCTGCAGCAGATCACCCAGGCAGCCCTGCAGCACCATGGCGGCCACGCCCTCTGCCCATACCCTGCAGCATGATTTGCACGCAATGGGGCACGAGGGCGGAGTCTTGTCCCTGCTACCCAGTGGCTATGTGCTTGGCTGCGCTGCTCTGCGCAGGCCATGCCCAGGGTGACTCTCATCTGGGGGGGCTGCTGGTGAGGAGGGGGCGCGAGGGGAGGCAGGAATGGGTGCCCACAGAGAGGGCTCCAAGTGCCGCCTCTGGCACGTATGCCATAGGTTCACCACTACTGTTGTAGGGGAAGTATTTACACACACTGTTTTACATACAGTGTTTACCAGACTCACTCACACTTACAACCATTGCAGTCCACCCCCAGAACTGCATCCCTCCCTGCCAAGTGGCAGAGCAAGATATTAGAACTCTTTCTCTCCTGGCCAGAAGAGTGGGGGGGGGGGGCTTACTCACTCTGGACGTAAGTTGTCTCAATGGGTGGGGCAACAACAAAGAGGACTGTCTTCCTGGATCCTGTCAGTGGAAATTATTTAACTGACGTAATGCAGAACATACCCTTTCTGAGTGGCAGTCTGTGGAAGAGGCACTTCATCTGCTTCCCCTGATAAGACCTGTCCAGTAATGTATGGCTGAATTGTGTGTCATAACTCTCATTTTCCTCGGAGCACAAAAACCCCACAGCCATGTCAAGGTAGTGCCTCATTGGGGATGAGAAGGAGGAGCAGGAGGAGGAGGAGGAGGATTTCAGTAGAATTTGAAGCAATTCTGATATCACTACAGCAAATATTGTAAATTATCAGGATAATAACATTGTTTTGGTATCTTTCATGGGTGGCACAACATTTTTAAACCACTAGATCTACATCTATGAACTCCGCAGTGGGTTGTGTTAATTTAAAATAAACTCAAGTCCAGAATAGGAAGTAGACTAACATAAAATAAAAGGAACAAATTGAAAAGAAAGCAGTTCAAAAGAAGATGTACTTTAGCAACAGTGTAACAATAACCTTGGCATCCATTATGTGCTCTGACAGCAAATCAATGCTGGTTGTTACTATAAGTGGTCACATTCAACTCTGTTACATGCCTTCAAAGTGCAATTATTAGACTAACATTAGGAACAGGGAAGGCAAAAAGTGCATAATCTTGGAACAAAATTCCTATCTTTCCTTATTTTGATACATTCAAATATACACAGTGTCAAATGCTAAATGCTTTTGGAACATCAAGGGATTGTTTGGCCTTAAAGACTACCCAGAGAGAAAGGATGTGGAGAAAATTATCTGGGATCTATCTGATTTAAATTGTAATTATTGAAGTTGGGGGAAATGTTCCTAAATTCTGAACATTAAAAAGGAATAGATGAAATTACATATTCTTCTCATAGTTTGCAAAATAGAAGTTCAGATGTTTTAAATAGTGAATTAGATTCCAGCAACAACAGAAATTCAAGACATCCAAAGCATTATTGTACTATTCTTAACTCTAGAATTCATTTTATCTCATAGGGACATTAGTATCATATTTAAAATTTATTTTTTCATGGTAACACAAATTGATTCTTTTTAAATAGCATTATTTCTAACTTCATAGTTATGATTACTATTTATTCATTAAACATATTTTGAACTCCATTAAACAAATAATGTTATCTACACTAAAAATGTTTTTTAATTAGCTATTATTATAAGGCCACTAATAATTATTTGTCCCTGCTGTTCGTATTCTACCTGTCTAAATTCTTTATACAACTTGTCCATATATACAATCTTGTTCTAAATAAAGTAATTTTCTTTACTCTTTTTTCATTCAGTGGCTTTCAAATGACAAATATTCTGACACATTTTTGCTATGTTCTGAATTCTGTTAATAAGATAATTACTAAATTGATCATACTAAACAGAATGAAGCTACATTATTATTTTAGAATGACTTTAATGTCAATTTTGTTAGCTTTAATGTCAAACTAGTTTTCTGCTATAAGCATTTGTTTTATTATAATTTTATATTCTGTGAATCTGTTGAAAAGTAAAATCTATAAAATATCAACTAAGATAAACTCTTAATTTGCCATATGGATATTAATAAAAAAAAACAAGAAATATTTTTTTTTTAAGATCTTCTGATTGGCTACCAAAGTCATATGGATTGTAACTTCTTAACTGGAGAATTTTTGTTTTGTTTTAAGGAATGCATTTTATGTTCGTAATTGAAGCTGATGTTAATTCCAGGTTAAAGAACAGGAATATGAATTTAAGCTATGCTTTCTTTTACATTTAGAGAACAGCATTTATCAACTTACCGCTAGGTAATGGTACCTTGCAGCTGCTTTGTATTACTGAGGTAAGTTGGCCTTCCCCTATCTGATTCATTAATCTTCTAGCTAACACGATCACTGGTCATGCAAGATCAAGAAATCTAGTAACCATACCTGGAATCTGAGGTCTGTGGGATGTATTAACATTACACTTACATTTTCTAATTTCTTGGTCAAGGAGGCCCCAAGTTTTGCTTGTATTAAAAATCCACAGCATGCATCATTTCAGAAATATCAACAACCTAAGATATGCAGATGATACCACTCTAATAGCAGAAAGTAAAGAGGAACTAAAGAGCCTCTTGATACGGGTGAAGAAGGAGAGTGCAAAAGTTGGCTTGAAACTCAACATTAAGAAAACCAAAATCATGGCCTCCTGCCCTCTCAAGTCCTGGCAAATAGATGGGGAAGAAATGGAGGTAGTGACAGATTTTATTTTCCTGGGCTCCAAGATCACCTCAGATGGGGACTGCAGCCAAGAAATTAAAAGACGCTTGCTCCTGGGGAGGAAAGCTATGGCAAATCTAGATAGCATACTAAAGAGCAGAGATATCACCCGGCCAACAAAAGTACGTATCGTCAAGGCCATAGTTTTCCCAGTTGCAATGTATGGATGTGAAAGCTGGACCATAAGAAAGGCTGAGCACCAAAGAATGGAGGCCTTTGAACTATGGTGCTAGAGAAGATTCCTGCGAGTCCCTTGGACTGCGAGGTGTTCAAACTGATCAGTCCTAGAAGAGATCAACCCCGACTGCTCTTTAGAAGGCCAGATCCTGAAGTTGAAACTCAAATACTTTGGCCACCTAATGAGAAGGAAGAACTCACTGGAGAAGGACCTAATGCTGGGAAAGATTGAGGTCAATAGAAGAATGGGATGACAGAGAATAAGGTGGTTGGATGGAGTCACTGAAGCAGTAGGCATGAACTTAAATGGACTCCAGAAGATGGTAGAGGACAGGAAGGCCTGGAGGAACATTGTCCATGGGGTCGCAATGAGTCGGACACGACTTCGCAATTAACAACAACAACAATATGTAACATAATTACATATATCACAACACACTTGTATGAAATCAAACAAAATGGGAAAATATTAAATTACCTGTTTTTCAAATCAAATAACAAAACATAAACAAAAGAGCAGAAGCTGTCTAGACAGACATTTTGGTGTTAATCAGAATAGACCTGAAAGGGACCTTGGAAGTCTTCTAGTCCAACCCCCTGCAGGAGACCCTATATCAGGGGTAGGCAACCTTGGCTCTTTTATGACTCGTGGACTTCAATTCCCAGAATTCCTGAGCCAGCCATGCTGAGGGGAATGGGAGAGGTTTCCAAGCTGAGCCATGCTGGCTCAGGAATTCTGGGAGTTGAAGTCCACGAGTCATAAAAGAACCAAGGTTGCCTACCCCTGCCCTATACCATTTCAGGTAGGTGGCTGTTCAGTCTTTTCTTAAAAACCTTCAGTGATGAAACACCCACAACTTCTGAAGGCAAGCTGTTCAACTGGTTAACTGTCCTCACTGCTAGGAAGTTTCTCCTTAATTCCAGGTTGCTTCTCTCTTGATTAGTTTCCATCCATTGTTTCTTGTCTTGCCTTCTGGTATTTTGGAAAATAAGTTGAGCCCTCTTCTTTGTTCTGCCAAGCTATAGCTGTAATATAATTTGCTTGAAAGCAAAAGTCAGGAAAATTGCTTTTTGTCTATTGTGGTGTGGGTTTTGAAATAAGATGTTCTATATTCATTACTTCATATGCTTGCAAGCTTTGCATTTTGGCTGACTTGTCATTTTGGGGTATTGTTGTACTCTTTCCTTTGACACTGGATGATTAACCAAAAGAGAAAATACTATTATATTTAAATTTGGAAAAAAGCTGCATACTGTACATCTTGATTCTTATCCAAGATCAACCAGTAAACATCACAGTCAAGGCACAAGTGATGAGGGATGGTGTTTGTATTGCCTGTGGTGACCCTAATGTGTAGTTTTCCATACTGAAATCTTATATAGATAGTCCTTGACTTACAACAGTTTGTTTAGTGACTGTTCAAAGTTACAATGGAATTGAAAAAAGTAACAATATCTTAGGGCTGACACAAAGAAGAGGGAGTCAAGCTATTTTCCAAGGCGCCTGAAGGCAGGACAAGAAGCAACGGATGAAAACTAATCAAGGAGAGAAGCAACCTAGAACTAAGGAGAAACTTCCTGACAGTTAGAATAATTAACCAGTGGAACAACCTGCCTCCAGAAGCGGGGAATGCTCCAACACTGTAAATTTTTAAGAAGAGACTGGACAGCCATTTGTCCGAAATGGTATAGTGTTTCCTGCCTGAGCAGGGGGTTGGACTAGATGACCTCCAAGGTCCCTTCCAATATTATTATTATTATTATTACTACTACTACTACTACCACTACAACTTATGACTGAATTTCACTCTTACGGTCATTGCAACATCCTCAAGGTCATGTGATCAAAATTCAGAAGTTTGGCAACTGATTCATATTTATGACAGTTGCAGTGTGATTAGCTTTTGTGACTTTCTGACAAGCAAAGCCAATGAGGAAGCCAGATTCACTTACTAATTTACTAACAACTGCAGTGATTCACTTTACAGCTGTGGCAAGAAAGGTTGTAAAATGGGGCAAAACTCATTTAACAAATGGCTCACTTAGCAACATACATTTTGGGCTCAGTTTTGGTCATAAGTCGAGGGCTACCTGTAATCTGTCCATTAGGTCCGCTCTGCAGGGCATATTCAAATCTTACAGGGATTCAGAAATAAACAAAATAGAGCTGGGTTTTTTTTAGATATCAAGAATTATACATTTACACAGTAATTATTGGATGCTTATATATTGTGTATCTTGATTAAATAATGCATCTAGGTAAATGACCAATAAAGTCTTATCAAAATACCTATGTTTTTACAGCCCAACTTTTTAATGGGCACTTTTTATTTTTATTACTACTATAACTACATGACCTTTTATCTTACCCATGATCTTCAGTTAATGAATATGTTTAGTACCAACTAATGGACCTTCACTGAGCAGCATAGCACAGAACTTCTAACAATGCCACGTTGTCACCCTGGACCCTGAACTCACCCTGAGCACTCCGGATTCGAACAGTTACAATAACTCTTGCTCCGTTTTTACAGAAGCACAGATGCTTCCATTGGACAAGCAGTTCAGATGGTTCGCGATGAATCAGATACAGATATCAGAGACCTTTTATTGGATTTTTAACGCTGGGTAGCTGAAGCATGCTGGAGAAAGATATCACTATTTTCCTGAGCCATTTGGTATTGTTTGCTCTATATAAACTAGAAGGCTGTTTAATTTTGATCCAACTAAGTAAAAACCAAATTTAAGAACCTTACAAGGCAGCTTTTACTACTGCAGTTTGTTGATTTCTTATGATCTTTCTTCTTTCAAGTCGTCTTTCTGAGTGTAAAATTCTTTTTCATTCTTTCTCTCCCCATCTCCTCTTTTTAAAAATCCCTTTTCTTTTCTTCCTCTTATATCTCTTGTGACTACCATTTCACTCTTAGTTTAATCTTCTGTTTCCAGATTATTATTATTTTTGTTCCTGCATTGTAGCTGCCCTGCTGTTCTACTCATTGTGTGCAGGTGCTTGACAAAGCAAAGCTGATAAAATGGTTAGTCTCTGCTCAGAGATAGTCTTTCATAAATTTAATCTAAAATTTCACACACAATATGCAAAGTAGAAGAAAACTGCAGGCTGATTCATACCACACAGATTTATTTCATCAGGAATAGAAATTACATAGGAATACTTATATTATGCTAGATTTCTATAGTAACTAATGCATTTTCTGGAAAACTCTGGAAAGGGATTAATCATCTGATTAATATCAGAAACGTAACAAGAAGGTTTAGCTCAAAGTCTGAACTCTTTCATTAACAATTGCTCTTTTCACACAACCTTCCACTAAATAATGAAGGGCAGAGTAAACTCTTTACAACTTTTGCTCTATCTTTCACTGCTTCATCCTTAATCAAAGCACATTCACAAAGAAATGTAACAGACAGCTATCCCAAGTCAAAAATTGAATTGCAACTGCTGGTGGGTGTAGGAAGTCTGATTATTTTGTTTTTTTAAAAAAAATTATCACAGAAAAATGTACATTTTTCTTTCAACAGATTTCATCAAGGCATCACAGCAACTCGATCTCAGCTTTTGCTTGGGGATGTCTCAAATGGAGTCTCCTACCTGGAGGCAATTATATAAACTAGTTTAACATGAGTTAAAATGAGCATTAGCTAGAGACAGCCGGCAGGGTTTATGTTATGCTTTTCTTTTCTGATGCGTGCATCTACTCCCTTGCCCAATATTGATTCATTTTTGTAAAATAGATACAAATGTTCAGTGAGCATCTGTAATAAGCCGATTCAAAAATGACTGTATGAAAATACTTCAATTAAATATAAAGGTAGTCCTCGATTATGACCAAAATTGAGCCCCAAATTTGTGTTGGTAAATGAGACATTTGTTAAGTGCGGTTTGCCCCATTTTTACAACCTTTCGTGCTACAGTTGTTAAGTGAATCACTGCAGTTGTTAAGTTAAGTTTGCTGGTCAGAAAGTCGCAAAAGTTGATCAGGTGACCCCCTAGGACTCTGCAAACATCATAAATATGAGTCAGTTGCCAAGTGTGACCATGGAGATGCTGCAACGGTCGTTAAATGTGAAAACAGGTCTGAAGCCAATTTTTTCAGTGCCACTGCAACTTCAAATGGTCACTAAACAAACAGTTGTAAATCAAGGACCACCTGTGTAAAATGAACCTTCAGGCCATAAAGCAGGGGTCTTCAAACTTGGCCCTTTTATGACTTGTGGACTTCAACTTCCAGAATTCCTCAGCCAGGCCAGCTGGCTGAGGAATTCTGGGAGTTGAAGTCCACAAGTCATAAAAGGGCCAGGTTTGAAGGCCTCTGCCATAAAGTATCCAGTCTAACTCATGAAGGCCTCTGCAGCTTCCTCTGTAAATCTTTCCCCCCTTCCC